TGACAACAGAATTGTAGTTGCTGTTTGTTGTGTAGTTGGCAGTGGTGGCGCAGTTTGGGTAGATACAACACAGAGTGATCATTAGATCCAAAACACAGGCGCCCAAGCTGTCTTCACCTGACGGTTACAGACTTGGAGACACGCCTTCACAATACTGCACAAAACCCATGCAGTAGAATAGAGTCAGTTCTTGCATACAAATCCCAACATAAGGTACCGAGCAGGGACAGGAATTCATCTTTTTCTTTTATGAAGGGACAAACAACGACGGCCACAGCAGACGTTCAAGGGTCAGAACCCTTCGTGTGTAACGCAAAACTAAAATTACGATCGGTACCTTGGATTGGCGTTGGGGAGTCACCGCCAAGCGTGCGGTCGTCGCTATCCTCTGCGGGTGAATCCAGTCCCTACGAGAGAGAGAGCATATATCAAACGGAGGGGAAGTGATTACATGATACACATGGGCTGACTACTGTAGTATTTTTCTCTTCCCCAGAACGAGAGAAAGCGCTTGGAAAATTGAGGAGAAGTAGAAAAGTCGTCTTTCCCTACAACCTCTTGAAACAACAGATGAGGAACAGATAGATAAGGATGAAACGCATAAAAAGGAAGGTATATGTAAGCTCACCATGAAGACGTCTCTTGGCTTGACTGGCGATGGGGCTGTTCCCTCGTTCGATCCGGAGACCACATCGCGTAGAGCAGCCGCTTCCATGCTACACCTTGTTCGACCCAGAAAATTAATTGTCAACCCGGGGAGGGAGATGTAATACGGTACCATGAAGGGGGCTGCAGTGCTGGTTGAACGCTTTGATGCCCTTCGTGTGGACCCAACGCTACATGCAGGCTAATAGTAGATGACAGTGCAGCACAAGGACTGCTGAAGAACGCTTGATTGGACGCCGCAAGTAGCAGCTGCGCCCAATATTATGGATGTAAGCGAACACCAGCTCCTGCCCGAGATACAGCATGTATCATATGCCTACCAGACACGACGCAAGAAAACACACTACCTTCCTGGACCGATTTTCAAAGCTCGATTTATCAATAACAGCAACAAGAGACGCAGCGCGGAAAACCGCGACGACCGTCTGTTCAAGAGCTCACAGCTAACGTATCATTTCGTTGCTGCGTCCTCTTCGTCGTCGCTTCGTCGTCAAGTAACGTTGTAGATTTAAAAATTGGTGTGGGGCGGTGTTATCTTGGGTGTCCTATACGTGGTGTGGCAACGTTGAGACGCAAGTGACAAATAAAGCGTCAGAAGCCTGCTGCTTCATGACAAGGTGTGCGCCACTAGCTCCAGGTTCTACTGGAGTGATGCTGTGCACCATGTTGGGGAAGTTATGCTTCGGGGATCAGCTGTTCGACCGAAGGAGATCAGGGTGCCGAGTTGTGCGGCACCGCGTGACAAAACAGGTCATTGTAGTGTGCATAAGCGGTCGGATGTTGACCTGTGACGGTTGTGGGTGCGAAGTTTGGACATTACTCTGCGTACACTACACCAATTGACAAACGGATTGCTATCCGAGATAGCCAGCCTTACACACTGATAGCTGTAGGCCGCGGGGCCCACCTTCCCCTACGCTGAGAGACGAGCGTGAGGGCGACACGGAGGGCATGCTCGACGATTGGACCCAAACCCCCCAGACCTTCTGTGGTCATATTCAAATTTTTCTCGACTCACCGTTGATGATTGGGCCTCCTTCCTTCGCCAGCAGCCCCGCCTGTGATGCAACTAGAGCGCGCGCCCAGTGCGAGACCAGTACACGCTCGAGCAGTCGGATGGTTGTACGATGAAGACCTTGTGGAGAGGGAGGGCCCTGTCCTGATCCATCCCCGCACGTGCCATGCACGCCTACGTAGAATGAGAACTTCCAGCTTCCTCAAAAAAATACCCAGAAGTCTGCCTCCATTTTATGCTGAAATTAGAAGAGGGAGAATCTCAGTTAATTACCGTCCATTTTCTTTTTTTAAGGTCATGGACCATAGCCCGCAACCTTACGATACTACTGCTGTATTTGTAGAAATTCCAGAGAGCTTCCTCGACCGGGTTGTTGTTAATATATTGTCTTCACATTAAACCGTATGTCAGTTGCTAAATGCAAATCTAGCAAAAGACTCTCAGCCCGTGGTCACGACAGTGCTAGAGCCATCTGAGGATCTAAAGAACACGCACACACACGGTCCGTGCACAACAATTTGTCCAATTACGTTTTGTGCGATAACTTCTTTTCGAGAAAGAATGGGAACGTGAAACAACGATAGATAGTCGTGACCGCCTCGTCGAGATACGTCGATAGCTGCAGAGTTTTTTTAATTTCGACGATATGCAACCTTTCTTTTTTGGCGAAAATCATCCACGGAGCCCCCTAAACACGACATACCTCCCCCAAATTCATCCACGGAGCCCCCAGACCTTCCCCCCGGGGCGCCCACCACCCTTCTCAGTGCCTGCTTTTGTACACTATGGACACCACATGATTGGATTTGTACAGATAGCACGAAGAAAAGTTGGTCGACGGCACCCATAGGGAGAAATACCATCACTTCAATATAACTTTGACGAATCTCTGCACACACAAACGAAAATATTTATAAAGCAGTATTGTTTACTGCTGTATATTGCTAATACTCCGTATACAAGATCGGCACGAAGAAAGGGAAACACGCACCAAGCACACAACACAACAAACCTCGGCCAAGCTGTTAAGCAAAATTTTGTGCAGCACTAAAAGACACACATCACTACGCATCGTTCTCGGCCTCTTTTTCCTCTCCCTCCTGCTCCATGGCCCGCTTCTTCTCCTTTTCCTGCTTCCACTTCTTCAATGTCCTTTTTTTCGCCCTCGTCCACGTCCATCAAAATCGCGCCATCATGGCCACCCGAGAGCGCACCGCCAGCGCCTGGAGATGGAAGATCATGTTGCTGCGTCGGCTTCGGTTTCTTCGAAACCGCTCGGCCATCGGCTCCGCGCGGGCCGAACGTCTTCTTCTTGGACCGTCCCTGAGGCTTCCCCATGGTGCTTGCGTGCGTCTTTCGTGTTTTCGGGCCGCCACGTGTGCGTGTTGTTGTGTGTTCGTCTTGCCCAACGAAAAAAATCTCCCATGGGGACGGCACAACAAAAAGTTGAATATCTCGGAAACCAGATTTTTCCCGACAAAAACCACAAATACCGACCTAGATATTGATTGAGGAGAGGAATCGTTTGCCGCTGTTTATTTTGAAATCGGTCGGTTAGTTATCCCCGAAAAACAATACAAGTTAGCCCTCTAGATCCGGTTTTTCTCTGATGTCTCCGTGAATTTACAATATTTTGACCAAAAAAAACATACGGACCTGGCAAATCCCGACATCTGTTCAAATCCGTTGAGTTTTTTCGAATCGGCGAAGAACACACCCCTGCGAAAACAATTCAAGTTTTCCGGTTTTGCGCCGAAAAAAAGTGAAGAAATAAAATAAACTCTCCGTCACGCGATGCGCCTGCAAACAGGGCGTTTTCCGGTATTTTCAGATTTCGGAACAACTACCTGTGGGCAGAGAAAAGTTGTCATTTGTGCTGGGAAAATTTTGGATTTTTT